CGCTCTTCCCAGCACCATGTCTTCATACAACTCCAAGCCTTCCTCTTTTGTGATCAACTGATAAAGAAACCAAAACCACCAAAAACATTCGAAAAGCAATTATATCCCAATTTGAATCCGTATCATTATTCACATATCATAAATAGAAACTAATCAAATTCATGGTTGATAGAAAAAAAAACATCAAATTTTACTACAAACATTGCCATCAATAGAACATAAAAACTAACTCTTGAAGTTCCGCTAGGTTATAGAAGGACATGGATATGTGAAAACGACGTCGGCAACAATCAGACAAGCGAACACAAGACGAGGAAATTCGAAGGCGTTTTTGCTACATTATCCGGACAACATAAGATTTCAACGAAGAGGATAAAAAGCTTCGGATTAGCGAAAGAAACAGGCATACGGAAGCTTACGAGATTGTTCTTTGATTTCTTGTCCTTATCGACCTCAGAGACGGCGGCGACGGCAGATCGACGGCCGAAAATGGCGCGATTGAGTCTGAGAGACGAATTTGGGGAGAATTTGGGGGAGGATCCGAGGAAGGAAGAGGAGGCGGGCAATCGAATCGGATCGAAGAGGCGGTTGTCATAAGATCCATGGAGAGGGAAAATGGCGGTAAGCTTCGCAGCTGAGAAGGATGTGGCCATTTGGGATCGTAAGGGGGTGTTTGGGAGGCGAGAAAGGGAGAGAAATGCTGGGAAAATGGAGGGAGAGGAGAGAGGGAAAAAGAACAAGTGGCTGAAGTGAGGCAGGGAACCAAACTCCTTCCTAACTACAGAAAAACACTGCTCTCTTGTACACGCAAACTCACTCACCCCCGTCTCCTTCACCACTTCGTTAACATCTATGTCTTATTCCACAAATTTTAGAACTTTTTTTTGTCAGATCCAATCTACAATATATATATACGTAATATAATATAATTAAAATTAAAATAATAAGAAAAAATATCTCGAACAAAATTGGAACGCCGCCGTGTAATCTGCGAAATTATATATAGATCCCTTAAAAAGGAAGTGACGCGGGTCTGTCTGTGTTTACAATCTGTAAACACAACCGAAAAAAAGGAAAGGAAAAACTGTTCCAGGGAGCAAGTATTCCCTTTGCAAGATCAAACATTCGATGAAATCACGAGATGATGATAGAAAGCTCCAAACTTTATGCATTATATAATATATCATTATATGCCCAAAGGGTCTAGAGGACGATGAGCCAACTCATATATAGATCAAACTAATATAAACCACACTAAGTAGGTTTCAATTAAGGCAAAAAAGTACAGTCCCCAACTCTCCACTACACGCCGCTAAGGACACAATCCTTATACGAAATGGACGCGCTTAGTCAAACAAGCTGAAACCCAAATCTCCGTCACTCTCCTCTTCAGGTTCCTCCTGCAAAAATGGTCGAATAGATTACCATGTTATCAAACGGATCCACAACCTACATGGTAAAAGTAAGCATGGAAGTAACAAAAAATGCTTCCTTTCTTTACCTTCTTCTTCTCCTCTGCTGCAGGAGCAGCTGAAGCGGCACCGCCACCAGCAGCAGCAGCAGGAGCTGCAGCGGGGTAACAGCAGCCCCCCCGCCACCAGCACCAACATTCGCGATGAGATCAGAGACACCACGCTTCTCAGCCATCTTGGAGAAAAGCATTGGCCAGTATGATTCAACATTCACATTGGCAGCCTTCACCAATGCCGAAATCTTATCAGCCTGCGAGAGTGACGTTAAGGACAGACAAACCACAGTGCAAAATCTTAATCGACTCAAGAGCCATGATCTATAAAAACGCGCCTCGGAATTCCCAGGCCACCCATCGTAAATACCCAAAAGAACAAAGAAACAGTAGAAAGAGAAATCCGAATTCCGAAATTAGACTTCAACACTGATAAACAAGTAGATTCAAATCAAGGATACAGTGATCGCGATACCCTCGTCCTCGAGGATCATAACAGCATAACTGCAAGCAAGCTCTCCAACAGTCGACATCGTTTCTGTGACAACAAAAAGAGCAAGAAAAGGGAACTAAGCACCGATAGAGCTAAAGGATCAGCCACGGGCTAAATTCAATTTTCTACAACGCTTTACATGGTGGGGAAACCCCACGGGCCCAACCCAGAGCACATCAAAATCTTGACAAAGACCCAAATATCGCAGAGCAAGATTGAAAACCCTAAAAACCAATGAAGAATTCGAATTGAAAATCAAACCACGAACATACGACGATCATACCCAACGATATTTAACAGAAAGTCAATCGACACCGGTAATCGGCCACTGGACGATAAGGAAAAAAGAAGATCAAGAAGTACCTCGAACGGCGATCGTGTGACTGCGGGTGCGCCGTGAAAGTGAAAAATGACTAGGGTTTTGATTCAGAAGAAGAATTGGAAGAGGAGAAAAGATTATAAAGAGAGTCACGGGACAATTGGGCCGTAAAAGAGGCCCAACTGAAATCATAAAAATAATTGGGCCTATACATTTTATCTTCTTTTTTTTTTTAACTGACTTTGATTTTATATATTTGTTTTTACCGTAGTAAATTGAATTCCAGGTCATAGTTACGGCATAGAACATGGAATTTTATCATAAACCACAACACAAATCGGCGTTCAGAATCTAACAAAAAAATAATTTTAAAAAGAAAAAAAACAGAATATGATGTATAAAAATATTGGTCTCCATGAGTAAATGAACTGATCTCAACGCATGTTCGTCATGTATTGAGGGACAACAACACGAGGACGTAGCTTTCCATGCAAACACTCTTTGAATATCAGAAACCCTAATTGACGACGACAATCGCTGTCGGTGAGATCGATCTGTCCAGCCAGTTCTTGGAGATGTGCCCTCCTCATTACAACCTTCACTTGGACTCTTTCCGGATATCGTTCCTCGCTAATTAGCTTCATCTTCTCCATCTTCTCTTCGCCTTCCAACTTTGCGTAGCTCTTCCTTAGACAGTTTCCCATTCTCTCTCTCTAACTGAATATTTGTAATAACTCTTGGGGTTTCTTTTATTAATTATGCCCGAAAATACATATGGGGGCTATATATATATATACATGTGTGTGTGTGTGTGTGTGTGTGTGATGAAAGGGCACCAAACTCTCTGGCAATAAACACACACAGGCCCACGGCGACATTGTCTAAACTCCTTTGTTTTGACAAAAACCATTCACGTAAGCAAACCCAATGTTCTAATATATATATATATACATACACATTGTACCTACCAACATGCCGAAGATGTGGTCAGAAGATTAGGATTGATAAGCCAGAGTTATCAATTGGCGGTTCCAAGTTGGTGTCTGGTTTCTAGTTAGTAGCTGCTTGTCTCTTTTTCAAACTGACGTGGCCCATATATATATACACATCTTATGAATGCTTTTATATAATTGTGTGTGTATACGCTGTACATACGTATGCACCCATTTTACGGCTTTGATCATACCAGGCCCCACATTGCAAACATGAAAGCAAAAGAATAGCCTTACGAGGCCCAAATAATGAGAGTACAGAAGCCCACAAGGGGAGGAGATAAATGGTTTGACCAAATGTTTGACGGAAGAGATAACAAAAAGGAAAAAAATGTAATTAAGAAATCCACGTGTTTGGTCATAGGGAACGACCACGGTGGTCCATCACGCACCTGATGTCTCAGTCTCTGGCTCCATGCACGTGACAGCACGAGACTTCTTCAGTTCGTTTTTATGATTGGCCTAACCAAACTTGATACATGTCTTTTTCATTACATTAATTCTCTCCTCTTCATACAAATAAACTGCCCTCAAGTGAAATTTTGTTTGAACATAAATCTATCTGCTCATCAACCCACAAATATATATATATATATATGTGTGTTGTATGTATTTTGCATATATTTTTTAAAGCGTTTGCAAATATATATATTTACTTGGAAGTTTTATGCTATGGTTTCAATGCACCATTCCATTTGAGAATAAGATATGGAATGGGTTGGGAAATGGGAAAACAAAACCCATTTTCATTTAAAGTGAGTTTAGATTATCGAGCCCACTCAACATGCGCTCTCTCGCGCGGGTTATTGTTTATCCACATATGTACAGACACATTTATATAATATGTATATATATACATATATACATGTAGATATCAACGGATATAGTTGCATTGCATATGCATGCATACACAAAAATAGGTATATGTTCGTATAAAGATTCGTACGCATATCGATGAGCCATTCTCATTCTCTAGATCCATCCAGCCCCATTGAACATGCGTGTACGTTCTTGCGTCTATAATAATAATAATAATAATAATAATAATAATAACCATAATAATAATAATAATATATGTTCGGAATTTGGGAGTTAAAGATCAATCAACATATCCACCCGGACACTGAACGCGAAATCCTTTTTTGTTGCGGATTTCACCATTTGAAAAAAAAAATTCAAGCTACAAGAAGAGAGTTTAGGTGATTATTTTGTGTCACCCATAGAAAATTACAAATAAATGAATGTCTTTCAGAAAAAAAATGCAAAGAAAAAACAGTATAACAAAAAAAAACATAAAATATTGCTGACATCGATTTAATTTTTGCCATGAAATTAAATTAACTGTCATTTTTTGAGCAGAGTTTGGTGAGATGTAAGCAGAGGGAAATAAATAATAATAATAATTTAAATTTAAAAAAAGAACAGTCATCGCTGTCAATGTTTGCAGTTCAAGAGGCGGTCAGAGAACTCTCTTTACACAACCAAAGCAATCCTTTAGATATAGTTTTCTCTGTCCCGAGATCCACCATCCACCTCTCTCTCTCTCTCTCTCTCTCTCTCTT